TTTAAATACAGTATTTACTTTTAATATTACCGATATGTCATCGAAAAGAAAACGTGTTGTATTATCATTAAAAGACAAATTAAAGTATTTGTTTCGATTATCCGGATTTTTCCTTATCCGGACTACCTTCATCCCCAATTAGTCCGGATAATCGAGGTTCTACTGTACTTCTTTCTTTTCTGCTCCGTTTCAATTCTATTGCGATAACATAAAATCGCGCATTGTCTTAGTATTTTTAATTATTATAAAATGGCAAAAGGCTTAATTTTCAAAGAATTTTTTATAAATTTGATTAAAAAAAATTGTAAACAGTAATAACAAATAACATCTTCATTAAGTCCGATTCCTGTCGAGATATAACTCGTGACACACCTTTATATCATCATCTTTTTACGTTTAACCAGCAATATTAATTAGCATCAATGCCCCTTGCACACTTGCTGCCATGCCAAATTTTGTTTCTTAATCATTACCCCATTCTGAGATATTAAACGAAATAGACGCCAGCACGCGCAAGATTTGCAAAAAACTCGGAGGTAAAATTTGACACGATTTTAGCACTTTCCTTAGTTTTGCACCCTTAACAGCAGAAAAAGTAAAAAGCGCATTTGAAAATATCCTTCTTGGAAAGGATAATTTCACGAATATTTTTCAATATGATATGTTTCGGCTAAAAACATTGAGATTTTTAATGAGGTTTAACTTGACATCCGCGTAACTTAGAAACATTCGGATTGGAAAATCAGATAGAGCATCAAATACTACTAGTAGTAAATACTTGACTAGAATTCCGGATAAATGTTTTTTGTTATAATCGTGTTCCTCGTCGAACAAAAATTTTCATCGAGACTGGCTAAGTAGAAATTGCGAAAAGTGAGATCGAAAGTTTTTCAGGAAGCGAGATATATGGATGGAACATACGAAATGCGGCTGCACTGCCCATTATAAATAAACCTAATCGAACGTTTCTGTNTTGGATATTATATAAAAATTGTAAATTGTTTCGCTTATGCTAAAAACGAATAATTATCTTTGGTATACTTCAGTTTTTGAATTATTGTAGAATTAATAGTTTATTCTATAATCTCATTGTATTTTTATCTAGTTTTGTATTGCTAATAAAGTATCTGTTTTATATATTAAGAAATATAGAATTTTGCAGATATAAAATCTTATATTATATTATCTGGTTTTGGCAGGAAAAAGTCCCGGACCTCCTCCTCTCCCACCTCGTCCACCCAACCTCACTCGTCCACCCAAAACCACTCGTCCACCCAAAGTCAATCACATAGTAAGCCCGCATCTAGAAAGAAAAGATTCTGGGCAGCACGAGATAAATACTGTTATTAATTATCCACGCCCTTATGATCGTAATGTAGAGATATTTCTGGAAGATGATGAAATAAAAGAAAAAAGTTCCGAAGTTCAGTTTACTACTGACGATAACAATAAATCAGGTAAGAAAATGTTTAATATTAGAATACAGTAAAGAAAGGCCAATTCACTCAAATGATTAAAATGTACAACTGAGTGAATTGGCATAATGTTTTATGACACAAATGAGTAAGATCGAATCAGAAATTTAATAGTTAATATGAGAATCTGGAGACGGAATAATTTTATTTTAGTAAGAAAAATTTTCAAACTTAAATTAATATTAAAAACGACGCATTTTTATAAATTTTGTGAGAAAAGCGAAATCAAACTTTCTTTCTCGAATGACGATTTTTCGTGGCGAGATGTTATCGGACATCTCTGTAAGGTCGCCGACTGAAAGGGGAATACAATTACTCCCGCGTCAGAATGAGCCTAAGGGAAACCGCGTATGTGGGCGGTGGCGAAGGAGGCAAATGAACAACAAGTGTTTTACAAGAAAAACCCGTTTATTTGTTCGAATTCATGCTTAAATCGATATTGGACAATTCCAAAATCTCGGTGTTCCTACGAAACGGTGAGAGTTCGGGTGATCGGTCGTAGCCCGGGCGGACGAGAAGAATAGCTGGACAACGCAGAAGTTCGGTGTTAAGCTGCGGCGTCCTAGGTGATCGGTGGTAGCACAACACAATAGGTAAAGCACAACAGTAGGCTTAATCCAGAGGAGACTCTTCTTCGACCTTGAAGTTCCGATTTTTATAGTTTTTCCCCCACTATTCGCATTTCGGATTGGTCCCTCGTCCCATTCCTCGCTTCCCGATTGGTCTCTCCTTTGTCTCCAGGTGCAAGACGAAACCTTTTCGGGTCGCGGGTAAGGTCCGATTCGAGGTGTCCATCCTCGAATGGACACCTCGAATCGGAGGTGTCCATCCTGTCGACTCTGCTCGGTGACTGTTTATAAAACAACAACACCTGCACTCATAACTCAGGCCGTTGTTTACCATTTTTTGACGTCTAAGAATTTAACGATCATTTTCATCTTTCATCTATCAAAAATTCCCCTTTGTTGTTCGAAAAGTTTATTTCGGCCAACATTTTATAGACACGCGAGTTAATGATCTACCTATTTATGAGCGCTCGTGTTAGAGTTTGTCTTCCGCTAAGACCTTGATATATATATTTGACACATACTCGAACAGTTCCGAGTCTCGTTGTTTACATCTTGTGTCGCGCAAGAATTTCACGATTTACTCGAGTTCGAATCTCGTCTGGGAACCGACATCTCCAACCAACATCTGTCTGTATGCGTCCGGACGAATATCCCACTAGATGATACAAATCTTAAACCCCGATTGGAGGGAAAGTTAGAATAAAAAGGGGAGGAATCGCAATCTCGGCGCGGACATTTCCCGAGAAGAGGGATTCCACCATAACTGCAAGTGACCCCCAGACTCACGTCCCGCCATTCTCTTGACCAACTCATCTCACTGCTGTGAAGATCCACGATCGTCTTTCCGACTTTCGTATAACCCGGATCTGGAGACATTGCATAGAGGTATTCTACTTAGATTTGTTGTAAACTCTCTCTCGGTATTTAGAGATGTATTGCACATAGGTGACGTTCGATTTAGCAGTAGATTATTTCTTCATATAGCTAATTCTTATATATGTTACTGTGAATGACCGATATCTGGCGAATGTCAACATTCTCCAATGAATGTCAGCATTCACACAGTCGTTTCGTGTATGTACGAAATATTTGCTAAATATCATGATTTCTCACTTACACCGGCAAATGTCGACATTCAGCATGCACTGATGATGAATGTTGAATAAAAATATTTTTATTACGGTAAGACAAAAATACAACTTTTTAATATGTCAAAATAGGAGAAAGCTTAAATAACAGCACATGTAAATAAACTGTTGAACCTAAAATGAACAGTACGCTCTAAATCAGGGGTGTCCAACCTTTTTGTTTCTCTGGGCCGCATTGGAAGAAGTCAAGGAATTTTGGGCCACAAGTATATATTATATAGGCTATACTTGTGGCCTAATATACAAGTATATTTAAAAATTAACACGTCTAGATTGTAATAATAAGTATTAAAACTTTATCACGAAAAGGGATATTTTAAAAAATTACTTTTACAGACACTTTGTATTTTTACTTACAAATGGATAAATTCATTTATTATAAAAGAGACAAACGAAAATTTATTTGAAAAACACAAATATTTGTTTTATTTGGATCTCTCATTAATAAAAAGCGACGAAACACTATTTTAAAGTGCATTTTTATTCAACTAATATATTTGTAAATAATATGTAGCCCAAAAAGTAGCCAAAGCGTCAAATGATATTTTTTAAGTCAAACTAAAAAAAGTAGCCACATTTGGCGCAATGTAGCCAGTGGTGTACCGTGGGGGCGGCACTTTTTAGGGGGCGGCAAAATTTCACAATAAATAATAATAATATCTTGTAAAATTTTGAAACATCCTAATCTATACTTGCATCACGCCTACGATAGTGCTATCGTCCGGACAGTTCGGGAATTGGCTCGCGGGTGAACTAGTAACTTTTTCATTTGAGGAGTTCCTGCGAAACCAGTTAACCTTTTTTTTGTTTTTCTATTTGCTTGTACGATTCATTCGCGTTCATATACACCACTAATATCCAATAGAACTATTTTAAACAGATCGCTGCACTACCACCGAATTTTTCATTGCTTGTTCTGTGACAAAACTGAATTTTGGTTTTATAAATTGAAATACCTAAATAAGGGGAGCCGAAATTTTCCTCCGTCCCGGGCGGCTGACACCCACGGTACGCTACTGAATGTAGCCAAATCTTACAACGCTGGAAGGAATACTAAATAAAGCTGGCGTTGTGACTCAAAGGATTATAGACTCAAAAGATAAAGTGTGAGAAAGGTCAGAAAATTAAGGGCCAATATTTGCATAACAGAAGATCTATTTAACCTTCCTCGCTACTT